GTTTTCCAACAATGGTCGGCAGACCACCTTTGGAAAAAAATGTTTTTTTTTTCAAATACTGTCCCCAATTTAGTTAGTCCACATTTTGTTTTGACAGTAACACATAAAATGGGTGCAAGCCAACCAGTCTGGTTCCCTGACCTCAAAATTCCCCGACGTCAATAAATTGCTCTGTTTCGTCTGAAGTAGGTTCAGGGAACCAGACTACAAGAACGGCATTTTTTCCAGCATCTATGAACCCAAAACTTTAAACAGGTCAGTGTGACATTATTTGCTATAAAATACCAACTCCCAAATTCATCCATTTCTGAAAACTACAGCAAAAGCAAACGTTGTATCTTTGAGTTGCTCTCCACATTGTATTATTATCAAGCTTCACCCCAAACAATAGCTTTTTTTTTTAAATCGCTAATTTTCTAGCAATACAAAAGTTATTCACTTTTGAATGGGAGATCAAACAATGAAATTTAAAATCGAACTTTTAGTTATGAAATTTGTAATTTTCTTTCAAATTATTGGCAGCGCGACAAACATTTATCTTATTTGAAACAGTAAAAGCAACCAAAAATGCAACTTTATTTTCAGAGGGTTGAAATCCTACAAAATAGACAGGAGTGGCCTTTTAGGAGGAAAAAAATTAATATATAGCACGGATAAAGCAACTTTAACCCTAACTCCCTAGGCAACGTTGCTGATGCAACCTCAATCCTGCAAAATCCTCCAACTGCCTCCATGTAAAAATAGCATACAGCCTCAATCCTCCAAAATTCTCTGTTAGTCAATCCAGCAAAATCCTCCAGCAATCACTGTCAGTATGTTGAGGCAGAGCCAGTGACATCCTGAAGCAGTGCAGAGGATTTCAAGTATAATCTAGGCCTACATTTATGCATGGCTGAGCATAAACAACACCAGGTCCAGCCCAAGACCTCGACACAGCGCATCCTCCAAAACCAGCCACATCACTTTTTGCCATATAGCCTCAATCCTGCAAGATCCTCCATATTGCAAAGAGGATTTTGGAAGATTTGGGAAGGATAGGGTTAAAGAAGAACTATTTTGGTATGCAACAGGTCTGCTGGGGATTTGGCGAATCCATGAAATTCACAAAATGACCTTATCATGACTATTTACTAGTTGTGTCTGATAGGGCATGACTCAAGACCTTTCAGCCATGCAGTTACGAAGCAAATATAAACGCCTACATGTGCTCATGAGTGGAACATCAATACTGCACATGACAAATTACAGTTTATTTGAATGAACAAGTTGTTCAAGATTCTAAGAGCAAAGGGGCAATCTGCCACCCACATCGCATCACTTCCCTTCAACCCCGGTGACATTTAGCCAAACATTCTTTTCCATTAAGACTGGAAAGCACTACCACTTCCCAATCGGTCCAAGAAGAGAACAACAAAAAAAGAAGATCGTTGACGTAAACAGCACTGAGCACACAACACAAACATATGAATTTTTAATTTGTTGTTGGTGTTAATTCAGTAGTCCCTGTAATATGCTTCTTTTTTTAAAGTAACCTTTAGCTGTGTTCATCAAAGGCTACATGTGGGCAGGATTCCCAGAAAGTGGACATGATGGAAAAGTGGAAAATACAAGCATCATCACTCAAACATGGTATCAAATGAAAAAGGAAGAACTTTTATTTGAATGGCGAGCCAGTGAGCGAGAACTCGGTTTATATAAATGTATTTTTTTTCTTCAAAACTCTGTTTTTGGGGCTAAAATCATAGAGTTTAGGTAGTCATTTTGGAATCTTGTTTTCACATGCAAATGCACGTGTTACTGTAGGTTTTTGTTTTTGAGGTAGACAGAAAGGTTCATATAATTATAAGATGGAATTTTTGCGTCGGGGTGATATAAATCAAATTAGGTTTTGCCCTTCACTGACGTTTAAACACTGTATACTCAGTGTGTTACCTCCCGAGTGAAAGTTGGAAAAAATCACTTGGGTGGGACTCGAACCCACGACCTCCTGCTTTCTAGTGCAGATGTCTTACCACTCAACCACCGAGGTAACGGGATCGGTTGGCTGGTTCGAATCTGATTCGAATAAAATTACCCAGACAGGTAACGTCCGTAACATTTAATCGAACAACAAAAACATGACAACATCTAAGTCCCTTTTTGCAAAATGTCATTGGTGTTTTTAAATTTATAGAGTGAGCTATATCTAGGACAACATAGTAATTCCATTAAATTCTTGCAAGTAACTTCACAGACTTTTATCATTGGGTACAGAAAATCAAAAAGTATGTCTTAAAGTGTAACGTAACAGTCGTTACACAGCAATAGACCTTTCTTTTGTTTGTAAACATTGGCGCCATTTTATATGGGCTGCCGCAAGCGCATAAATTGAAGCCGTGGTTGGCAACATGTTTTTCCCAAACAAGTCCCCATAACGCCCTCAATACAAAGTAAAAAAGCATGGTTAGGAATTATGTTGAAGCTTTGTTGACAATTTTGAATTTCCAACAATCAAATAATATTTTGGTTATCTGTAATAACTCGTTTTCATTTTTTGCAGTGTTGGACCTTCCATAGTTTTGCAACCCGTGGTTGGCAAAAAAATGCAGGTTGCCAAGCAAGCGTAGTATACAAATATTGAATGCTTCGAGTGGTGTAGTAAAACTAGCCTCCCGAGGTGATCCATGGACCATTCTATTTTCCCAAGGCGAAGCCGAGGGAAAATAGAATGGTCCATGGATCACCGAGGGAGGCTAGTTTTACTTCACCACGAGATAAAGCATTCAATATTTGTTTTATAACACTTCACCCACAGATTCTGCTTGATTTTAATATTTTACATTATTTAAATCTGAACACAGTTGAAATAAACTTCAATTTCAATACAAAATTGGTGGAAAATGTATTTCTCTCTTAAAAACTAACCCTTCGCGAAATGTTTGAACCCAAGTCTGCGGCGCGCTCTCTTTGGAATAATACGCGCTACGCACAACGCGCAACGCGCACACCAGCATGCATTTGCACACAAATACCGCACCGTGGAAATAGTACTTTGGTTGCTAATGGTATAGTACTTTGGTTGCTATGCGCATAGTACTTTTGGCCGTGCACAGAAAGATAGCAAAATTAGAAAGTAACATGTGACTCGCTCTCGGCCAATCAAGACACAGAATCTGTGGGTGAGGTGTTATAAAAAGGTCTATATCTCATTAACATTATGTCATGTTGTACATGAAGGTCCAAGCTAGAGTTGTGCCAAAAATATGTCTAAATTGATTTTTAAGCTCTGAATGTAACATCTGTAACGACGGAATTGCCCACCTAAATATTTCATTTGTCGGCATGCGCAAGACCATAACATTCTTTACAAACAATATCCACAGTCTATAACCTGGACAAGTACAGGTAAATAGTCAGCAAAACATTGAACTGGCCTCAATTACATGTACACGTATACCAGCATCTTTCTTACTTTTTATATATGTCGGGTCACTCGGGTGAGCCGATAGATCAACTCTTATTGCCACGAGCTGGAAACAACAGCTCAGAATTATAATTGTGCATTGTTTTAGTTCCGATTAATGCAGGTAATTAATTTTGTAGTTAAAAGAGTTGATAATGGGATGACCTTGACTTTCAGTCAATAATGCAGGTTGAGAAAATGGACTGATTAAAAAAAAACTAAAATAGCTTTACAAGAAACAAGGGCTCTATGCCGGTAGCTGGATAAATACGAAAAATAACAATTGCAGAGGATTTATGTGGAAAGACCATGTAAATTGACTGTCTGTAAGATGGTTCTCTAAAGAACCAGATGTGTTCAAGGAATGTACAACATTTGCTTTTGCTGCAATTTTCAGAAATAAATGGATTTGCAGGATTAGAACGTTATAACAAATATTGTTAAACTGACTTGCTTCACGTTTTGGGCTTGTAGATGCTGGAAAAATCAAGCAAACCAATCATGTTCTTGCAGTCTGGTTCCCTGACCCCACTTAAGATGAGACAGAGCAATTTGTACACTTTGGGGAATTGTAAGGTCAGAGAATCAGTCTGGCAGGATTGTACCTCTTCACAGGTGTGTAATCAAATGCAAAGAAAATGCGGAATAGCTAAATATGAAAAATTTGAAGCACTTTTTGAAAATAAGCCAGTTTTCTCCAACGCTGGTCGGCCGACCAGCGTTGGAAAAATACAGTTTTTCTTGAAAATGTCAGCACTCCAGGAGCCACAATTTTAAAGGATGCTTTAGACTGTCATTCCCTAACAATCCAGTAAGGTATTTCGTGCTAATTTGATCATTTTGTTTTTTGATGTTTGCAAATATTGTATCTTCCCTTTAACATGACATTTCAGTCAGGCCATGCTGAAACTGTCATCAGGAAAAATGTGGAGTTAAAACCGCAGGATCTTCTCCGAACCATGCACCTTTCCTTGAATACATGGCATATGCTAGCCCCATTAATGTAGCTCACAAATACTGAACTTCCTCCATATAGCGAGCTACACAGCGGTATACACACTTCAAAATGACTCAACTCGACTCAAGTCCCAAAAATCAGTGACTCGTTACAACTCTGACTCTCCCCCACGCAATTTCTACCCCAAGATACTGTTAAAAAAATACAAAAAGGTGCCATTATATTGAGAGAAGTCTGCTCTAGGATGAAAAGGTCATATTTCTGAGTAATAAACAACACCCTTGACTCTAGCCGATCCCGTTAGCTCGGTGGTTGAGTGGTAAGACATCTGCACTAGAAAGCAGGAGGTCGTGGGTTTGAGTCCCACCCGAGTGATTTTTTTTCCAACTTTCACTCGGGAGGTAACACACTTGAGTATACAGTGTTTAAATGTCGGTGAAGGGCAAAACCTAATTTGATTTATATCACCCCGACGCAAAATTCAATCTTATAATTGACTCTAACTTTATCAAAACTAAACAAGGGGCCCTACACAACACGATCGCCCGTATGTGAACACGGCTTTACAACAATAGAGGTGCACAGAAGTGAATGACAAACCTTAAACTCGGTGCTCTCCATGATCTTGACGTCCAGTCTCGTCATCTCACCCAGCTGTGGTTTACCCATGTCGGCGATCCGGCGATCCTCTTCAGACATGAGCTTGTAGCTGTCGTCGTGCTCGCTGGTATAGGATTCATTGTCGCTTCCTGCAAACCGAGACGAATGGCAAAGTATTGGGTTGAAACTTCAAGGTACTGTAGATGGACTCTGATGCATTAATGTGTGATACACGTATACATTGGTCAAATTTCATGGCTCTAATACCATATGTGAAGAATAAAATGTCTGCATTACAAGTAAGCAGAAAATTGCAAAGATTAGCACAAGTTTGCATTTGTGAGCCTTTTTAAAGTCATTGTAAAATTGTAAAGCACAAACATGAATGAAAACAACTACAAATTTGTGATTAAAAAAGCATTTCACATTTTCACCATTGGGGATTTATTCACATAAAGTCTACAGTCCGTCCTCACAATTTTATTACTTTCACATCCAAAAAAAGTCTTGGAATGTAAATAATGCATTTTCCTTCATTTCTTTAAATTAAAAGTATTGAATTGGTTATCTTTGCTTGAGTAGCATATTGAAATAGTTAATGAGTGCAAGAAGCTTTTTTTTTTGGTGCAGAAGCTGTAAAAAAATTCCTGAGATGTCAGAAAAATTATTGCCATGAGAAAGTTGGAAAATATCTAATAGCATTGCAGCAGTGGCAGCTTTTTGGGTGCTATCACTTGATGGCGGCCAGAACATGCTTGTTACCACATATAATTACTCTGGTAACAAGCATATAGTGGCAGCCATTTTGAAAAAAATAAATAAAAGTGATTAACACCCACAAAACTGCCACCGCTCACACTGCAAAATTTTCCAACTCTAGATGTGCACCTTACCAAAAATCGCTATGAGCATTGTTCCTTTTGATCATTTCATACCGGTGGCCCAATTTATGGACCGAAGCTGATACCCTACTAGGCAAAATGTTCAATGTTATTTTTACAGATGCCGTGTTTGATCGAATTGGCACACCATGCTGAGAAAATGTAGTCTCGACTTAAAATTGGCATTTTGGTCTCAGTTGAGCTTAGGGTTCAAGTTGTTGGCTACAGTTTTGTGACTAGCCCGACTTATTTATCAAAGCTGCTCTACTCGTGCTATTCCATATATTTGTTTTTCTGACTTTTCAATTGTATGTTTTATTTACATGGTATAAAAAAACTTACTTTTTTTCCCTATTTTGGACATTTTCCACCCTCTGAAAATATATACTTTTATTTCAGGTTGCATTTGGGCACATAATGCACAAAAGTAAGCATGAATTATTCAAACGTGGCAAGAATTATTCAAAATTTGTATGAATTATTCAAACTTTGTAAAAGAATTATTCCATAACTTATTAACAAGGGAAGATTAGTTTGGTTTCTCTTTTGGTCTCATTGTCTCGATGTCTCCTTTAAAAATCAGTAACTTATGCATCATAGAAAAACAGCAAATAAAAACTAATTCAATTTTCCCAGGGTAAAACTCAAAAATAGCACAGGTGTGCAACTTTAAAAAGACAAAGAAAAAAATATGTGAAAGGAAGAGGAACATTTGCACAGAGTTGCAGTATCCCCTTGGTCAATTTAATTTTTTGAAGAGTCCTTTTAATATTGAAGTTTATTCGCAAGCAGAATATTTGAGCTCCTTCATGAAAACATGACACTGACATGTTTGTACCCGGATTGTCAGATGTGCGTGGGGAATGGTACGGATAAAGACACAAGTGATTAAAAATTAACCAGAAACCATGGTCAAATTAACTCACTGCCCCCTCATATGGTGTGGGAGCACTACCCACGAGCGTGCGCAAACAAGGACAAACACCGATGTTTACCAACAGCTCTACAATGAAGCTGCTCTCCTAGTTTCAAAACAGATTTTGTCTTTAATTCGCTATTTTTTAGCAATTTAACATTATTCACTTTTGAATGAGACATCAAACATTGCTTGGACACTGTCAGTTCATTGGTCCAGGACGGCCACGTGTCTGGACAATAAAAATGTATGTCACACACTGAGGGTGATATCGCACAGCGTTCATTGCGCATGTTGCGCGCATGCGTGGAACCTACCGGCGCGCTTGCTTTGCGCAATGAGAACGGCAACGTCAAACGCTCAATCTCAGGACATCAAAACCTTCAGTTGTCAAAGGTTACAGGTCGCAGCGATTTAATTCATTATTCAGACAGTAAGTTATAACCATTTATCTTGTTGACTTATTGGCACAGTATATTAACCAAACAATTGTTGACTGCTGTGATGTGGGATATGCCATTTTAAACCCCCTCAGGGCACACGCATGCACACCCGGGTGCTAAAAAGTCATATCCCACATCACGGCAGTCAATAATTATTAAATAGAGCCTGCCTACGCTTTTCTATGAAATGTTTACCGCAATAATTTTGAATTATTTTTTGGCATGACAATCTGGTTGTCTCATTCAAAAGCGAATAATGTTTAAAGGGAATATACGTCATTTGCTTTTGATTTAAGTTTTAGAAATGGATGGATTTGGGGGGTTGGTAATATATAGCATATATTGTTACACTGACTTTTTTGACGTTTTGGGTTTGTAGATGCTATAAAACCAAGAAAAACAATCATTTTCCTCTGTAGTCTAGTTCCCTGACTCCATTTAAGATGAAACAGAGCAATTTAGAGACGTTGGGAAAATATAAGGCCAGGAAAACAGTCTAGCTAGCTTGTACCCGTTCATAGGTTTGTAATCGATTGCAAAAAAATGCGGACTAACTAAATATGGTCAATTGGGGCCAGTATTTGAGAAATTTTTTTTTTCCAACGCTGGTCGGCTGACCAGCATTGGATATTAATACGAAAATACCACTTTTCTTGAAAATGACAGTATACCAGGTGCCATGAGTTTACAGGATGCTTTAGACTGTCATTCACTAACAGTCCAGCAAGGTATTTCAAAATAATTTGGTATTTTTAGTTTTTGATGTTTGCAAATGTTGTATTTTCCCTTTAAGTGCTAGAAAATAAATTTTGGTGTATATTTTATGCATTATGGGCACAAAAGCAAACCAAAAATAAAAGCATGTTTTTTTGGAGGGTTTAAAATCTCCAAATAGAACGTACAAATTGAAAATTTGCTAAGAGAAAAAAAAACATTAAACACGTTGGGTAGAGCAACTCTAAGCATTGAAGGTAACTTATTTATTGACATGAGAAAGTAACTGCTTGGAATTCAAACCAAATTTGAAATGTAATGCTAATTCATAACATAAAACACGAAAACAACAACACAAAAGTTTGATTTGAAACTTAGAATTCCCATTTTTCATATTTTTTTTTCGATGAAATCTACCTTAAAGGGGCTATGCAATGATTTTTTTTTTAGGAACACAATTTGTGCAACTTTATACTCCTCTCAAAATCTATGAAAACTATATGACATCCCTTTTTGGTTAAGTTTATTGAAATGTGCACTTCTTTAAAAAATTTATAATTGTCCAGGTTCAGTTTTTCAGGAAAACTGAGGGTGCTGACATGTTGCTGTGATGTCTTTTCAGGAAGACATTGTTCAGTTTAGTGTTTTTCTGTTCACATTGTGAACCCAAAATATGCTTTATTGAAGACATTTGTGAGAAAGGCTTGCTCATTGGCTAGCTGCAATGTAGACACAACAACGAATCATCAGAGGAAACAAGTTTTCGATGGCAAAATTCAACAAAGCAACTTTTTGTTGTTGAAATAGCTGTTTCTGCCCGGAATAACGTCACAGTTTTGCTCATGAATATGGAAATTCCCATTAACATAAACCAAAAAAATGCACCAAAATACCCTCTAAAATGGCAAAACAGAAAGATGCATATTCAAGGATTGCATTAAAAAAAAATACATTGCATGGGCCCTTTAAAACGAAGTAAATTCAAGATGGCACATTCCATAAATGAATTACAGCATCATATCATCTGTAACTGACATTTTGTTTATTGATGAACATCGCGTTCTTTGTATCGTGGGTTAATGTTTAATTCTTTGAAAGCCCCGGCTGCAAATCAAGATTAATGCCTTCAATCAGTTTATCGATGACGCACATCCGCAACTGTTAACTTAAAATAAAATAAAAAGAATAAAAGCGAAATTCGCATTCTAAATCCCCTTTTTGAAAGAAACATGACAGAATGTGTGCTTCATTCATTATGAACTCTTCTGCCACCTCCAATAGTTGCAAAATTTAGAATTAGAAAGAATGACGCAAAGTAACCTATTTAAAGCCGTGATTTACGTCATAGTGCTAAAAGTTTAATGCTACGTTTCTTCAGTGAAAATTGCAAAAAGTGGGGGCAATAATATTTTGCCCATGTTGGCCCACATGAACAAGCTAAAATATTTTCACTGTAAAATAAAAACTGTTTCAATCGATAATGCTAAAGGTTGAGTTGTTCAAACGAACCAGGAGTACATGTACATGTACTCTGTGAAGCAAACATGTAGGCCCAAGAACGACGATAAAATGTGATTTTAAAAAAGTGTTATGGTATTATTGGCTGTATTTTTTTAAAATTCTGCTACAACTAATGATGATAAGAAAAAAATGTTTGTTTTGAAGTGAAATGATAACATAAAGTGGAACTAAAACTGTTCAGTGCTGATACATGTACATGCATAAATGGCAGTCCCATTCTCCATGCAATATTGTACAGTGACTGTACATTAAAAAGTATTCTCAATATGAAACTTTTTCTCATAGAAATGAGAAAAAAAACATAACCTTGCTATCATTAACCAGTTCACGTCGGATGACGAGTATAATAATAATACTAATAGTGGATATTTGTAAAGCGCACGTATCCACCAGGACTGGTGCTCAAGGCGCTACATCATTTTTACCCCTACTCATTGGGCCAATTAAACATTCCAAATACCATCTCAGCTCCCTGGGGAGTATACAGCTCGATGCAGCCTGTTAGGCGCAAGGAAGCTAATTCAATCACAATAACCATCTCTGCCCTCACAGGTACCCATTTACTCCTGGGTGGAGAGAAGCAATGAGTGACAAAGTGCCTTGCCCAAGGGCACACGCACCATGACCCCGCCAGGACTCGAACCCACAACCTGCAGCTTTACCCACAGACAAAATAATACCGGCACGAACTGGTTAAGAAAGTTTTTAAGTTGTTAGGTGGGCATAAAATCAACTTTGTGGTTTTACCCCTGTAGACAACTCAAGATTTAGTTACGTTACTGTACCAAGGCAAGGTGATTAGGTACTTCTAAAAATCATCAGTCGCACCACGCAAGTGACGTATCACGGATAGTTGCCGCACCATGAAGTGATGTATTGTGTGCACAAAGTCACTTCGTCATGCAGCAAACGATTGTGTGCAAGGTACGTCACTTCATCGTGCGGCAAAACTATAATATTCGTCACTTTGTGGTGCACGTGTGGTCTAGCGGTGGGGCACACGATTCATGATCGTGAGATTGTGGGTTCGAGCCCCGCCGTGGCCATATGCGTGTTGTGCCCTTGAGTAAGGGGCTTTACCTCAATCACTCCTCTCAACCCAGGTGTTAAATGGGTACCGGCATTATTCAATGATGGGAACAGACTCGCTGTGGAGGAGGTGTGGCGATCCCCCCACAGCAGCATTTCATGGATTCAAGTCTGGCCCAATCACTTCAAAAGAGAGATGGGCACTCCGTTCCTGTGAACATAGGTTCGTCCCCCTTTACCTTTACCTTTTTACCTACTTTGTGGTGCACCCAACAAAATGTACAAAGGTATGGTACTGTATGGTACTGTACGTACCATACCATACCATACGTACGTGATATTCCACAGGGAGTGTGCCATGACTTTTTATAAACTTAACACGTGATCGTTCTGGGCCAATGAAAATACAGTATTCAAGACTGAGGTATAACAAACGGGTTTATGTTTTCTGACTAGCACCCACAGGTGACGAAATAAAGCCATTTTTGTACAAAGACATTGACAAAATGGGAAACCGCCAATGTAGGGCTGGACAGCTCAGTTGGTAGAGCAACGGAACAGCAATCCGGAGGTCGCAGGTTCAAACCCGGCTCTGGTTAACTCCTTTGTTCAACTTTAAAATTACTTTATTTGTTTAAAAAAATAAACCCTGTCCCCCAAAATGGTTTACCTATATGTATTCTGATAACTGCCCATTACGGGATAGCTACAAGGTAAATCAATCAAACATGTATCATACCTGGTATTTAAAATACACACTGTGTACACTTCTAATATCCATATTTGGAGACCAGAAATTGAAATTGGATGGGCATATATACAGCCTCGTTAATTACAGATACGCATGACTACAGCACGATAAAGACAAAAGAAGGAATGTCAGAAATGCACTTGTGGTTTAATAACAGATCTGCAATGCAAATTGCACTCTCTTGTTTCCTGGAATTGTTCTCTTTAAGTGATGGGATACCAGCATCTTTCAATTCATTCAATCAAACAATAAACAGCAATTTAGGCACAAGCAGGCAAGCGATGCTGAAAGTGTTGTACTAGAGAGTCCATCATGAAGTCCTTTCATACGTCCTTTCATACATGTAAGTCCTTTCACAAGTCCTTTCATAAAGCCAGTCACAAGTAACTGGATGAACAATGACAAAGGAATGCTTTTGTCAAGGTTCATTTGAAAAGCTAGTGACTTAAGATGGACTTGAGATGGACTTAAGATGGACTTGTGACTGGACTTGTGACTGGACTTGAGATGGACTTGTGATGGACTTGTGATGGACTTGTGATGGACTTGAGATGTACTTGTGATGGACTTGTGATGGACTTGTGATGGACTTGTGATGGACTTGTGATGGACTTGTGATGGACTTGTGATGGACTTGTGATGGACTTGTGACTGGACTTGTGATGGACTTGTGATGGACTTGTGATGGACTTGTGATGGACTTGTGATGGACTTGTGATGGACTTGTGAAGGACTTGTGATGGACTTGAGATGGACTTGAGATGGACTTGTGATGGACTTGAGATGGACTTAAGATGGACTTGGGATGGACTTGGGATGGACTTGTGATGGACTTGCAGGGACTCGAATACAACACCGGATGTTGATAATGTGGAGTACAAATGAATTGCCAAGCCCACGAAAGCCTGGTTTTTTCAACACCGATGTAGAAATAGCCCCTTATAATGTTTGAAAGCCCAAGCAAAAGAATTAAATATAAAGACCGGCCTGCTTGACAATTGGTTATTTATTTTTTATATGTAGTTGGTGTAGACACATTTAGAGAGAATAAAAGAACATTGAAAATGCAGCTGCAGTATGCTGGCTTTGAAAAAAAAAAAACATAACCCTGCAAGATTGCAGCATTTCAATTTCCCAATAAAAAAAAAAAAAAAAAATTATGCTGGCTTTGAAAAAAAACAAAGCATAACCCTGCAAGATTGCAGCATTTCAATTTCCCAATAAAATACAAAATAAAAAAACAAATGATCAACGATCAACTGTAAACATAAAAACTGAAGGCATCTGTGTAAGTAGATGGCTCATAGCAAATGGTGGCTGGATTAATGTGCAGTTGAGGCCGGTCTGACCTTAGAGAATGAAGGATGAAGAGGTTATGAAAGGATTAAGAGATTATAAAAGGATCCAGAGATGGATGGATTAATAATCCCTTGAACCAGATGTTAGTAGTGATGACGATGATGATGATGATGTGAATCGTGACCTGTGCTTTATAAGAAAGGGTAGATCTACTCACTGAGGGATGGGGCTTAAAATTTAGATTCCCATTTTTATATTTTTTAATCAGTCTCCAAATCACTGAAAGCATGACCATGTACAAATTTGTAGCACTCAGACTGTCATTTAACAATACATGTACAGGGTGAGTAAAAAAAAACGAAACCCAAATGTTGGGACCATTGTTTTAGGGAAGTTCTGCATGTAGCATTTTCAAAATCTGGGACATGAAAGCCCAATTCATAAGCTTTCATTTAGTACAAGAATCATTCATATCACTCATGTACTTTTCAAGTTGCGGAATTTTAAACACAACCACCGTTTTAAGGTTCTGTCCACTGATCGCAAAAAGTTCAGTGTTCTTTCAGCAAAACGAAAACAAATCACATAGGGATGTGTGTGAATTGTTTTCGTTTTGCTGAAAGAACACACACTTTTTTGGTGATCCATGGACAGAACCTTAAAACGGTGGTTGTGTTTAAAATTCTGCAACTTGAAAAGTACATGAGTGATTCGAATGATTCTTGTACTAAAAGAAAGCTTATGAATTGGGCTTTCATATACTAGATTTTGGAAGTGCTACACGCAGAACTTCAATAAAACAATAGTCCCGACATTTGGGTTTCGTTTTTTTTTTACTCACCCTGTACACTGAAAAATGACATTAGTGCATGTTCTCCAGTTTACTTGTAACCGGTGATAATGTGGAGACTTATCGATTCCATTTAATGTATCAGAATTTTAGAAAAATTAAATAATAATTGGCTGGCCCTACACTACAATGAATATTTTATCTTCCAACCACATACTGAAGAAAAGTGAAGAGGGCATTTCTAGGTGAGATCCCAGTGCATGTACAAATCCCAGACCCTGGGAATCGTTTGACGTCCCCCCCCCCCCCCCCCCCCCCCCCCACCGACACCTACCCTAAATCAATATGGCTCTCAGTGGCACGAGGGTGTCAACATGAGGACCTGCAACATGTCCTGAATGCTGATTTCTGACAGCATAATTTATAAGGAGTCTGAAGTAAACTGTGCGCCCCACTGTGAGAATATAGGGTGCACTTGTCTGGGCCCAATTTCACGATTTCTAGTGCTACCTTTAGCAAACAAAATCCCTGCTAATGGTAACAGGCAATTCTGCGCCAACAGTTGGCAAATTTTACAGGTTTGCGAGGAATTGTAGCTTCTGCGTTTGCGTACATCCCGTAAATAAGGGTTCTCAGGCTTGCAGGTTAGCCCAGATCTGAAATTCTTTGCTAGTGTGGTAAGCACAGAGTCATTGGTGATTGTAAGCGCCAAATTTTGTGGTTACTAGAGTCCTGACACTGCAGGGCCCTATTTCATATAGCTCTGCTAACCACAGAATTCAGCGCTTACGATCACCATTTTGTGCTAACCGCACCATCAGTAAAAAAAAAACTTTGCTAACCCTCTAAGCACAGAATCCTTAGTTACGCATTTTCTGCTACAGTAATGCAGGGATTTTGCACTGACAGTATAAGCAGGGCCCAATTTAATGGCTCTGTTTACCGTTGCCGAAAAATCCCTGCTTACTGTAGCAGAAATTCCTTGCTTACGGTAAGCATATTTCATGCGTTAGTGAAGAATGTTTGTTTCTGAGCATGCGTATATCCCGTAACTAAGAGTTAAATGCTTACAGGTTAGCACAGAATCTTTCTGCTAGCGCAGTTAGCACAAAATTTGTGGTCGTAAGCGCGGAATTCTATGGTTAGCAGAGCCAAGAAATTGGGCCCTGAACCATGAAACCGGGCCCAGGTCTCAAGCACACACAGTCTGAATGTCAATACTGCATCCACACAGTCTCATGTACATGTACCTATTTCATTATTAGCCACGCGAGATGGTAATTACTCCCGATTCATCCCACCGTGAACAATGGCCGGTTTAATTATACCGTAACTGGGCCACGAAATCGAACAATTGATTGTAATTTTAATACAAGGTATGTCTTTCAGTGATCCAGGTATCCTTTTTTTGTAAAACAAAACCAAAACTATTCCATCCTTGCCATTTTTGCAGGCTCAACAACTCTTCAAAGACAAACATCTACCCTTTTTTTTTTTTAGTCACAGGTCATGATTATGTGCCACACTTCATTGCTTCCCTGCAAGCAGTGCAACAGAAAAGAAAATCTTTTTTTTAAAGAATCAACAACAGACCCCCGTCCTTGCATCCTGAAGGTGTCCAATGGTTGCCTCGCCTGGTCGAAAAATCCCGCACCGGTTTCCCTGTGGACAAAGTTATACAGTGTTCATGTCATTTTATTTTCATAGGATCATTTGCTCACGTAACTTATCCTATGATGACAAAGTACACCTGTGTGTAGATGATAGAGAGAGATACAAGGTGTTTTTTTTCTCATCACTGTGCAATTTTAGAAGCATCCAGGATCATGGGCATCGCAAGAATTTTATCGGGGGGGGGGGGGGAGGCAAAGCACATTTTCCCCCGAAATCCTTGTACTTTCTCTAGCATATTCTCTATTTATTATTTTATAGAGGGTGGACAGGGGGACATTAATTTGCCCATCTCACCCCCATTGACACCCCTGCAGACGCCCAGTTTTGTTAAATGTTTATGAATTTACGAGTACATGTACAAATATGACTTGACACCTCATTTTCTTTCTCTTGTCTGGTGTTCCTTTAAACGAGAACACTTATTTTGTTGGTTGCCAGTAGACCATAAGTTTATGCACCTACGTGCCACTTGTACCAGGGGCGTGGCTAAGGTCAAGGGTTAACATTTGGGATTATATAACCGACATACAGATCCTTGTCATTTGATTGGTGGAACTCACATCACGTGACATTTGTTATTACTCCCATTCACGCTGGGTCTCAAAAAGTCCCATTCGCCCATGGGGAATGGGAAATATTATTGAACAGTAAGGATCATTCTTGTTCCAAGACGCGGTATTTGTGTGCAAAGGCATGCTGGTGTGCGCGTTCAGCGTTACGCGTAGCACGTATTGTTCCACAGAGCCAGCGCTACAGAGTTGGGCTCAAACATGTTCGTGAAGGGGTGGTTTGGAAGAGAGAAATACATTTCCCATCAATTTTGTATTGAAATAAAAGTTCAAATATATTAAATGACAAGGATCTATATATTAGTTATATAAAACAAATATTGAGTGGCTTTAAATTGTGAAATGGAAGGAAAATTATCACTCGGTAAAATCTGGACTTTTCCAGTTCACTCAGCTTCGCCTCGTGAACTGGAAAAGTCAAGATTTTACCTTGCGATGATATTCCTCCCATTTCACTCAGAGCCACTCAATATTTGTATACTATGGCTGACAACAACCTCGTTTCCATGGGTACGGTCTTGCTGGTTCCCATCATGCCTTGCTCAAACAATGCTCATTTCAAACGATCCTTTGTCACAGATACATGTACCTTGAGAAATCTTCTGGAAGGATTGAGATGAATTCACTAGTCACTCTCAAGCGGTGTCCTTTCACATAATGGCACTTTTGTAAGATTTCTCAAGCATGAGAAAATGTCTCAAGCCTTGCGAGTTTCTTTGGTGTCGTGTTTAAATTAAAGGGCTTTTACACTGATCCTTATTGCATACACACCAAATATAGGAGGCCTTACAATAAAAAAGGTACACATTTGTACATTATGCATTACAGTCCGCATGACATACAAATTAAAAATGCATAATGTAAAGGTATGTATGTACACAAGTAGAAAAAATAGTGAAAGGCAGACTTATATACATGTAACTGCCTTGTTATCTTTTTATTTGAATGCATTCACTTTTGATATTAATTTATTTGAGTGTCAAGACTTTGAAATCTTCAATTCACCACTCGGAGCAAACTGACCTATGGTAGGCAGACACACAAAATATTTATCCACACTTGCTGAGGAGATCTGGGGCCAATTTCATGGCGCTGCTAAGCACAAAAATTTGCTTAGCATGAACATTCCTCCTGGATAAGAACAGGGTTACCAACCAAATTTGTATGTGTTTTATATTGCTTGTGACTGGTACTAAGCTGTTGTTCACTTTTGTGTGAAAATCATAGGGACTTTTGGCTAGTAACTGTTTTTACTGAGCAGGACATTTTTGTGCTAAGCAAATTTTTGTGCTGAGCACCTCCATGAAATTGGCCCCTGCTTAGTTTCAAAAGTGTTCAACTTTTGCGAATACACATCATGATTATTTGATGTGCATTTGCATTGAAATTGCATTGGACTGACGTACAATGTGTATTAGATACATAGTGACCGCCATGCCTAACCACCATCTCACACTCATGTGATATGCATGCAGACTCTGCAAACCGCACAAGAAGACCAGATGACATTAATCAAAACTCTTCTAACGAGATGTCGCCTCGTCAAAATCCACTCTCCAATGACAGCAGATGGAGGAGATTATAGATTGCGCCGTGCGAGAGTTAGCCTCCTGACGGAACTGCACTGAATGCAGATTGGCTGGACAGATGTCACAGCTCAAAGATATCTGATAATAGGTGGTGAAAGACGTCAATAAAATGAGGAGGACCCACGGTACGAACTGCTGCATGATGTACTTTCATGCATACATGGACATTCTTGCATAAATAATTCCAGGAAGCATGCATGTTCGGGAGAAAAAAATAACACCATACATGTACATGTACTGCTTCGTTATGATAATTTACATGTAAACATAGACTTGTGTGTCCCAAATGTTTTAGAATCTATTCTGATCCTGTCTACTAAGACTTACAAGTCCATTCAGAGTCAACATCCTAATTTAACAACCAAAAAAATTCAGAAAAACAGCCATTTCATTATGATTGAACAAGCACCCATTTTTAGAGTCGTGTCAAACCACATAGTATAAGGAGCAATCTTTTTATTCCCCTTATACAGCCGGTCCATCACAAGCGAGGTTGCTATCAAGAAGATGAATCGAATCCAGTCTTGGCAATATTGGCAGCGCTACCCAGGAATATTCTGAGCATACCTCACACGTGCTGTACTCAGCGTTTTAGCCAGGATTTGAGAAAGTGGGAGTGCAACCCGAAAAAGTGAGAGTGCAACTTGTAGTGTCCAGAATTTGTGTGCGAAGCCTGTACTCGAGGTAATGCATGTGCGCGAGGTATGTACACTCGGAATTTCCTGGGTAGCGCTGCCAATATTGCCAAGACTGCATGTGATTCATCATGATAGAGACCTCCACCGTCGCGGCAACTTAACCGCATATCACGGGACTGGCTGCAAAACAGGGAAATAAAAATTCATCGCAAGTCTTGAACTAAAGACTAGGAATAATTCAGGTACATGTACATATGCTCTAATAGAGTTTGGTTGTAGGTCGGCAAACTTCATTTTATTGACTGGACTCTGGAGTCATTCTGAACAACTGCAACAGCCGATATTTCATGTGTTGTTGTTACAAATTGTTTCAAACATCAAAATGAACTTGTTTGGCGTAGGGGTGCATTTACGGGTAGCACGGGAACCGGGTAAACAAGGGTACCAGGTACCCGTTAAAAAAATCCACCCCCAAATTCAAATCTCAGAGGTTTGCTGTTCAGATTGTTCATAAAGATCCGCACTATAATACTACCACATGCTGTGCGTAGATACAGCAAGATAACTTTACAAATTACAAAGTAACTTCTCAGACAAGAAAAAAAAAAGAAACTTTTGAATGCCATTTGCAGGTTATTTTCAAATATGAAAACCATGCTACATGGAAAACCAAAACAGATTTCACAATGATGTACATTTCGATGCACAACTGATGTTGCAAAAGTTGCAGTTTATACCGTAAGGCCACAAAAAAAAGTCTCCGGTTTCTGGTATGCGCGCGCGTCGCCGTAGCCATGCACGTCGGCAAAATGAAAAAAACAAATTTAAATGAAAGATGCTGTCTCAAAACCGCCAAACTCACTGGTTTGACTGGAATCCTGCTGCTGCACAATTTTAACAGGGTTGGGTTATGGTCGAGAATAAGCTTTATGTGGCCTCTCTGGACTCCCATATATTTGCACTAAGTTTAGTCGGGCACCATTTGCAGTCATCAGCCGACATTTGAAGCAAAAAAATCAGGTAAAAAAAAAAAAAAAGCCGCGTCGCCGCACCACTTTTTGGGCAAGCTCCATACCAGAAACCGGAGGCTTTTCTTTTGGGCCTAAAGCTATAAAGCCCTTCAGACAACTTCCTGGATTTGAATTTTGGGGTAAAGTTCCTTTTTCCCTACCGTAAATGCTCACCACTATCAACTCAAACCTCATGGGAATCAGCTACAACAGGGAAGTCAATATTCTAAATCAAATCTTGGAATCAATTCCATCTGATCCTGAGTCGGAGTCCCCCTAGCCTATCACTAAAATAAAAAACATAACCATTTTATTTACACTCGCACCACAATGATGCACAGTGCGATAGCGCGCAAGAAACGTGATAGAATCTTTGTGGATCCTATTATTACTTTTATAGAGTATGTAATTGGATGATGCCTTTCTGTTGCCATGGTGACTTACCGTTTCCTCTCTTGATGAGTTTGGGCTGGCCCAGCTCCACGTAGAAGTTCTCTTCCTTTTCGTATTCTTCATCATCGATGATGGTGACCTCAATAAACTTCCTGCAAGTCAAAAAAAAAAAAAAGGAGACAAAAAAATTAGGAAAACGCATAAATTAAGCACAAATAAAAACATATAAGTTGTTTATCACGTTTGGAATAATTTTCCTTAATAGTTGGACAGAAATTGCCTTGGTTTTACAACACACTTTGACACTACAGCCCCCCCCAAAAAAATATTGCCTCAATGTCTCTAGTGGTTGCCATTTTGAGACAAAGTATTTGCAAATGTGTAAAGAGTTAAAGCATCCACACAAAAATTATGGTAAATTATGAAAGGGCAAAAAAAGGGGGAATATCTGAGCAACAAAATGCCCAAATGAGATTTTAAATGGAAGATAACCAGCCAAGTTGCCTATCTTGAGAATGGTTTGTGTTAGATCAGTTTGATTTGACTTTTCTGGACCAAAATCTCCCCCCCCCAAAAAAAAATTAAGGTTATACAGGGCCGTAGCCAGCCTGGTGGAAGGGGACAGTCATGTTTACTACATGTACAAAGTGGACCTTTTTGACTAATAAACAGTTGATTACGCATAGAAATACACATTGAAGTAAAACTCATAGCGAGGAGAAAGTGGACCTGCAACCAATTTGGTCGTCCGAGACCCCCCCCCCCCTCCCCAACCCCCTGCCTACGGGGCCTGATTCTAGCAAGAGTGCATAAAAAGACCCAAATTCTCTGACGCACGTCTCTCTGTTTTTTTGTCTGATAACATACAGTCATGTACATTTCAAAGTAGACTATCTAGAGGACAAATAAATAAACGTCACTATCAGCAAAAAACAGACGTGGCCAAGTGATAATTACGTGTATTGGGGATTGGGCACACGTACAGCGCACATTTTCAAGTGCCGCCCAGGGCTCAAAAAAAAAAAAGAAGAAAAAAAAAATGGCGCTGCACTCGCGTCCTTCTATAAACAGCCACTAAAACAAATACAGACTTTTTCTTAGACTGCATCGCAGGAGACTGCATCGCAGCAGGTAACGTGGTGTGATTTATGTCGTTTACATGCAAGGTGCCATACAGATGGGTGGGTGATGAGGGGAGATTGAACTTGATATGAGCAGTCAGCTCTGTTGTTTGTCTCGCTGCAAAGGAGGATCGTCGTTGACAGGTTTATTGTGCAAGTATTCTTGCCGGCATTTAGTACCGCTAATGGGAAAAGGATCCAAATTTAGAAAAGGTGCAATCCATTGACGGGATGCATTTCTAAAGGCAATGGGAAATGCAAACCACAATGCAAACCACTTCTTGTGGTGTGCCCACTTACTGTGCTTTGCAAAGAGACAATATAATGTCAATACTCTTGAGTTTAAAATAGACAATTCAGGGGCGGATCCAGGAAATTTTGCAGGGGGTGGGGTCACGCCCGTCAGCTTTTATTTATGTCCGATTGTTGCGGACAGGCACAAGTGTCATCTTATATATTATTACAATAATTGTTATAATTTATTTTCTTTTTGTCAGAAGAAGAGGGGGAGAGGGGGGGGGGGGGGTTTCGACCCCCAAAACCCCCCTCTGCATCCGCGTCTGCAATTTTTTCTATTCTACCAAATGTTCCTTAACATATACATGTATATTAAAATGTAGTGTTGATGTTCATTGCAAGGGGAGTCAGGTTGGCGTGGCGGTACTTTCCTCGCCTTCCACCGCTGTGGGTTCGATTCCCGCCTGGGCCAATATGTGAACTGGGTTTTCAGTCCCTGCCTGATTCCGTGGTTTTTCCCTAGAACATCATTCTGGGTTTCCTCCCACCTCCAAAACTGTAATTTCTTCTCATTGTCTTCTCTCCACAGGTTTCTTCAGGCTTGTGAGCTGTGAAGCCAAGGTCGCTTTTGAGGAATCCTTGGTTTCATTACCAGAAAGAATAATTAATAATAATAACTAATTTGACGGGAAATTGTACCTCAGGGAGACTGTCCCAAAGGATAGTGCATACAATTTTTCCAACTTTAATGACCCCTTTAAACCCTAATTTTCCCTTTTCCTAACTTCACGAATTTTGGTATTATGTTTTGGACCACAAGCAATGGATCTAGCCCGTTTTCGACAATTTAACATGTTGCCTCTAAACAGGAGCTGTGACATTAGGGGGACATTGAAATGTCTCCCTAATGCCTGGTGTCTCCCTAAGGTATAACTTATGACAGAAAAATGTAAAGGAATTATTACAACACTTTGCAAGTATACGTGCATTAATATCCCTTATAATATCAAAATAATATTATACTACTGGCCTTTTCTAATTTATACACGATTGTACATAATTGTAATGAACGGCATCATTGAAATAAATGTTACTATGTCATGTTACTGTGTCATAATACATTTTTTGGGGTGATATATACGGTATTTAAAAGTAAGAGAATGAAACTTTAAAATTCTCATTATTCTTACATTTGTATGTTGCTAAAAACCATCCATTTTCATAAAATGTGTGGTACATGTATACATGTACATGTATATAAATCACAGCCACTATAAGCAAATGACTTCGGCAGATAAGTAATAATTATCATAAATACATGTAGGCCTATCTATTTTTATTGATTAATATGCAGTACAGAAAATAAAATAATAATCCCATTATCTTTTAATCCGGGGAAATTGACCCAGGCATTGGCTTGAACAAACGAACCTCTTCAATCTTAAAGCTTCATATAGGCATCAAAGAACACCGCAATATGGGAATATCATGAGATATCAATCCAATCCAACATCAAGTCAGCCGTGCATAAATTCCTCTAAATACCATGAGCCAATGCACAGACGGTGGAAATAATTTCTCTGCATGTTGCGTTTTTTTCTCCTTAGCTTACAAACCACTTTGTCTGTGATGTACACGAATGCTGGAAAATAAGTAATGCTTCTTTTCTATATTTTTTTCAAGAAATAGCAGACTTCAAGGTCTTTGAAAATTTGCGAGTGACAAAGAACATTTGTGAGGCGTTCTGGCAAAATAAGATGTAATAAGATGGCAAATAAGATGGCAAAATAAGATGGCAAAATAAGGGCACAGGCCGTAGTGGACAAATATACAAAAACCAAATGGGGGTGATTTTTTCCCTTCGATTTTCATATTTGCAATTTTTGATGCACGTACATCATGTATGTCTACTACAAATGTTAATAGTACCATAAAACGTGAAAATAAAAGTGTTTTTATGAACAAAACAATCAGCATCTTTCAATTTCACGAATAAAAAACTCGCAACTTTAATCGCCTTTTTCTCAGTATTTTTACTTTTTTGACATGACCATAAATGCGAACATTAAACAGCCATAACTTGTCCACGGAATGTCCGATTGAAGTGCAATAAACAATGTTGCAAGGAGAATTTTATTCTCTTTCCTATGTATACCCGCAAAACCCTCATTTCGACCTCTGCCCTGTTCTGTCTCATTTCGCCCGAACGGACAACGCCTCACATTTGTCAGTAAACAGTATATCAAAATGAGAACAAAAATGAACAATTTTCATTGTAAATCCATTGTAAAATATCAGTTACATTCATGCATGTATATTGGCCTAATTGTAAACCCTTTTTATAGACAGACAATTCGGACCAAGAATACGAAGGGATATCCAGCTGAAATTGCCACAGATTTCATTTCATACTGGGTAGCAGGGCAGGTGCACATACACATGTACGTGAGGAGCGAATGTCAATATATTCCCCAGTGTTGATGACTGCACATTGTGCACTGGATTTTCCATGTGGCTTAGGCCAAAAAAAAAAAGTCTCCGGTTTCTGGTATGCGCGCGCGTCACCGTAGCCATGCGCGTCGGCAAAATGAAAAAGTTTTTTTTCAATGAAAGATGATGTCTCAAAACCGCCAAACTCACTGGTTTGACTGGAATCCTGCTGCTGCACAATTTTAACGTGTTTTTAGATTGGGTTATGGTCGAGAAGAAGCTTTATGTGGCCTCTCTGGACTCCCATATATTTGCACTAAGTTTAGTCGGGCACCATTTGCAGTCATCAGCCGACATTTGAAGCAAAAAAATCAGGTAAAAAAAAAAAAAGCCGCGTCGCCGCACCACTTTTTGGGCAAGCTCCATACTAGAAACCGGAGACTTTTTTTTTTTTTGCCTGAAATTTTGTTAGGATGTACTGAGATGAGATTTAGGGGGTTGTTTGTCACAGATTGCATCCACGGATGTTTTTCCTGCGTGAGAGTGATAAACAGCTCGAGGGGAGGGGGCCCCTAGTAAGCAACGACAATATTACTCGATTATTCGATATTATTTCGATATCGATATCACCGATGATGGCAATTTTTTAAAATCATTTCAAGATATCGGGGAATATTGAGGAAAGATATCGAAACTATTGAAAATGCGTCACATTATCGTCAAAAGAAATCTCCCGTTTGTGTTTTTACTTTGTGTTTAACGTTTGCTGTATAATGAAATAAAACTTGGTGCCATTTTGTACTTGTGACTCAAAATAATAACATTGACAAAATGCCAAGCGGCGTCGCTTTGTGCTCTGTGTTCGCTGTAATTCCTGGTCTCCCCAATGTAAAACCTTGAAAGAAACCGCCCGCTCTGGACAAGCTGTCAGTGCTGAGATTTGTTTTAAAAAAGTTTGGGCAATATGCTCAAAGCCATAGAAAATTGGAACTTAAAGGGAATGTACAACATTTGCTTTTGCTGCAATTTTCAGAAATAAATGGATTTGGAGGATTAGCATGTTATACAAATATTGTTAAAATGACTTTTTTTCATGTTTTGGGCTTGTAGATGTTGGAAAAACCAAGAAAACCAATCCTGTTCTTGCAGTCTTGTTCCCTGACCCCACTTAAGATGAAACGGAGCAATTTATAGACTTTGGGGAATCAGTCTAGCAGACTTGTACCCCTTCACATGTGTGTAATCAATTGCAAAGAAAATGCGGAATAACTAATTATGAAAATTCAGAGCAGTTTTTTAAAAAAAAGCCAGTTTTCTCCAACGCTGGTCGGCCGACCAGCATTGGAAAAATACCATTTTTCTTGAAAATGTCAGCACACCAGGAGCCACGATTTTACACTGCTTTAGACTGTCATTCCCTAACAATCCAGTAAGGTATTTTGTGATAATTTGATAATTTCGTTTTGTGATGTTTGCAAATGTTGTATCTTCCCTTTAATATTGATTAAAAACAAAAGGAAAAGTGTCATCTTTATGGTCTTTAACTTTTACATGGGATAATCCATAAATCGAATATTATCGATATTTCCGATATATCGATTATTGAAAACTCCGATATCGATGGTGCTAACACAGATTGCATCCACGGATGTTTTTCCGCGTGAGAGTGATAAACCGCTCGAGGGGGAAGGGGGGAGGGGGCCCTAGCTGGTTTTTCTGCATTACATATCCGAGTGTGAACTCTGATAATCAACCCTATAGACGGGGAAGTGGATTTGGGGCAATGTATGTACAGATCCTATGGATTATTCAATAACCCCCATGAATGTGAAATATATTCTGCAGTTGAGCGAGAAGCCAAAATTGTGCACTGCATCCTTCAGCAGGCTTTCGTTTCCATTTCTGGTTGATTGCAAATGGATTTCTTTCACTGCTGTAATGCTGTCATGCACACATGGGTTTTACATTTGTGAAAAATATCAAGCAAATCATCCTTTTATATTAGAAAACCATGGAAATGAGTTATTAATCTTTTAAGTATGGATGACAACTTACATAATGCGATATAGTATTTTTTGTACATTTATACAATATATCTTTTGTAGCAATTAAGATAATTAGGCCCCCTTTCAGGTAAAGTTTACCTATATGTAGGTAAATTACTTTGCTACAAACAAGATTATTTCAACACCATATTTTGTGCATGTTGCAGTGAAGATAATTATGGGGTTAACTTTACCTATATATGTAGGTAAACTTTGCTACAAACAAGATTATTAAACACTATATTTTGTACATGTAGTAATCAAGATAATCAGAGGGTCAAGTTTACCTA